AAGATTTTGGTACCCAATTAAGTTTGGGTCCGGAGTAGTTAATGGTGTGTGTCCCTACATCAAGTTTGAAGTTGCAGGGAATTTTCCTTGCAGCTCTAAACTTGTTGGGATTGTAATCATAGTTGTAGGCATAAAACTTCCTACGTGCAGGAGGTGCAATTTCCTGTTTCCTCCTAGCAAACCTAGGTTGATAAGACCTGTAGTTTTGTCTAGGTTGTGCATAGTGTGGCCTGTGTCGGTTATAAGCATACTTAGGTGGCACAAATAGTTTCTGGGGTGGAGGATGACTATATCTTGGCATAGTTCTCCACTCAGAATTTCTTGGAAAACTCCTATCTACCCCATAATGATTATATCCTCGTGTATAATGGGGGTTAGAAGGTTTTCTTCTGAAGTTATTTCCTTTTTGAGGTTTGTCCAGCTTCCTATAGTTCTTAGGAGGGACTACCTTTTTGGGAACTTCTGTTGGTTTCTCCTTTTCCTTTCCTTTCTGCTTATTTGGTTTAGCAGTAGGTTTAGGAGGGATGAAAGTTGTTCTCCCTTTCTTTTTGGAACTGGAGGGGTCAAACCCAAGTCCTCCACGACCCTTATGTTTGGTCGTTTCAAGAAGCTTATCCACTGCTTCTTTGGACTTAAGTGTCCCTAGTTCTTTGTTAAGGGTTTTCACCTTTTCAGAGAGAGATTCATTTTCAGTCTTGAGTTGAGTGATCTCATCCAGTTGACTTTTCCGACCTTCAGTCAACTTGAGATTCTCTTCACTCAATAATTTGTTCTCCTCTGTTAAGGAAGAGTGTTTGAGATTTATTTCCTCAAAATCTACCATCATCTTTTTGAACTGGTCAAAAAGATTTTCAGAAGTTGGTATGCTTTCATAAGAAGATGAGTAGAAGGTTTGTGAGGTTACCTCTTGATCAGCATCATCTTTGGCCATTAGGCAGAGAGTGTCATCTTCTGACATAGTCCACCTATCCTCATGGTTGGACTTTTCAACTCTGCGCTCCATGCAGACGAGGGCTTCTTCATCTGAGCTTGAGCTAGATGACTCGTCACTTTCAGCAGCAACCATTGCCTTCTTTTTCTTCTCGTTCCTTTCTCTTTCTCCGTACTTCTCCACCTTTGGGTACGGGCATGCTGACTTCCAGTGGTCAGGCTTCCTGCAATTATAACATAAATAAGATTCAGGAGGGGAGTCACTTACTTGTGGCTTTCCCTTGGTTGGTCTTCTGATTGAGTCAGCCTTCTTGAAGAACTTCTTGAACTTCCGGAATTGCTTGACCATCATGGCAAATTCCTCATCGTAGCTCTCCATTTTTGAGCTTGACAGCTGGCTGGAGGAAGGTGTGTCACAGCTTCTTAAGCATGTCCCTTCACTTGATGGGACTCTTGGAGTTGTCATCAGTGCCGTTGGGAAGGGAGTGACTTGTTCTTCCTTCTTCTTCTTCAGCTCGTGCTCATAGGTTCTGAGCTCATCAAGGAGACCTTGGACAGTGTAGTTCTCCAGATTTCTTCCTTCTTCCATGGCTGTGGCTTTGGTGTACCACTCAGTTGGAAGAGATCTCAGCAACCTTACATTCTTTTCTTTGGGAGAAAGAACGTGGTTAAGTGATGCAAGATCATTCAAGATTTTGTGGAATCTTTCATCCAGCATATCAAATGATTCTCCGGGAAGCATTT